CTAAATGTAATGAGACCTACACTAAAAAACAAAGCAGTGAAACAGCAAGGAGCTCAAGAAAAAGAAAGAATATTCCATGGTATATATGTACCACATCTTCTTGATCCAGTCATCTATTTTTGGGCATTTGGGCTGTTTCTAAAGCTTAGCTATTGTAAACAGTGCTGCTATAAACATAGGGGTGCAGGTATTCTTTGGAATTGATGTTTCTGTGTCCTTTGGCTAAATACCTAGGAGTGGAATTGCTGGATCATATGGAAGCTCTATGTTTAGTAGGTCCAGAAATCTCCACACAGCTCTCCATAGTGGTTGGACCAGTTTGCACTCCCACCAACAGTGCAGAAGAGTTCCTTTTTCTCCACACCCTCGCCAACATTTGTTGTTGCTAGTTTTTTTAATATGTGCCATTCTCACTGGTGTAAGATGGTATCTCATTGTAGTTTTGATTTGCATTTCCCTGATTACAAGTGATGTTGAACATTTTTTCATATGCCTGTTGGCCATTTGCATTTCTTCTCCAGAGAAGTTTCTTTTTAGCTCTTTGCCCATTTTTTGACTGGATTATTTTCTTTGTTGTTGTTGAGCATTCAAAAAAGATAAACACATGCAATTTGCAGCAACATGGATGGCGCTGGAAGGGATCATGCTCAGCGAAATAAGCCAGAAAGAAAAAGAAAAATACCAGATGGTCTCACTCATAGCAGGAATCTAGAAAACTTAAATAAGGGACCAGGAAAATGAATAACTATAAGAAAGTGAAAATCGAAATCAACAAAAAACTATGAATCAGAGACACTTTTTGGGCGATGGGGGGGCAGGAGGGGAGGGATTGGGGTCAGATTGGGGGGGTTGAAATTGTATGGGGAATATAAAAATAAAATTTATTATTTAAAAAAATTAAAAAAAATAAAAGCTCTCTATGAAAAAAAAAAAAGAAAAAGAAAGAATATTGATAGAGACTATGAGAAAAAGTAGGTAACACTTAAATCTACTACCATTAAGCTTGCTTCTCAGAAGAAACCCTACATGAAAAGAGAGAATGGAATGACATATTCAAAATTCTCAAAGATTAAAATGGCCTGCCAATAATAAATATCCTGCCAGACTCCAACTCCTTTAGATACGAGGGATAAATGATAGCCTTCCTACCGAAACAAAAATTTAAGGACTTTGAAAACACCACATCTCCCCTACAAGAAATGCTGAAAGGAGCCCTCAAATATAAGTTAAAAAGGAGAAAAATTCAGTAAAAATTAAACAAATCGACAGATAGAACCAGAAAGCAAAACACAAAATGGCCTTAGCAAATTCTCAAATATCAATAATAGCAGTAATCAGTCAAATCAATCAATCAAAAAATATAAAGTGACTAGTTGGACCAGAAAATGGAACCTTAATTCTCAAAGAGACCACATGTGGGTCACAAAGCAAGTGTCAATAAATACACAAAGATTGAAATCATATCAAGAAATTCTCTAGGGCCTCCCTGGTGGCAAAGAGGTTAAGCACAGCACTGTGAAGCTATCGCCAGCCTCTGCAGCACAAGTTTAATCCCTGGCTGGTCAGGGAGCTACCCACATGGTGCAGCAGACCTCTCCTGTCTCTCCCACTTCTTCCCTCAGCAGTGTATTTCAGTCAGACTGCCTGTTCTGTTCCCCACTCTGTCTCTGGTGACTCCTCTCACCCCCCGCACCTCTGGCCTGTGCTCCAGTTCTTGTATGCATAAATAAATAAATCTTTAAAAAAATAAATTCTCTAATAACAGTGGTACCAAACTAAAAATCAACCACAAAATGGAAGTGGGAAAAACGTCAAAACTGTGAAGACTAAACATAATATTGAATGACCATAGGGTAAATGAGGAAAACAAATGAGAAATTATTAAGTACCTGAACACAAAAGTAGATGAAAACATGATTTACCAGAACATAATAAATATAGCAATAGCTGAACTAAAAGGAAAATATATAGCAATACAGAACTTCATTAAGAAACAAGAAATATCACAAATAATCTAACCATACATACATATTAAGAAAATAAAATAAGAGGAAAATGAAACACCAATAGAAGGAAAAAATTTTATTTACTTAATAAAAATTAGAAAAGAAATATTTAAAATAGAAATCAAAACCAGTCCAAGAAAGCAATGACATGAAAATCTGACTCCTTGAAAAAAATAAAGTAGACAAACTTCTTCTTAAATTCCCAAAGAAAAAAGGTAGAAATTCTAGTAAATGAAGTTAGAAAAAAAAGTCTGTTGAATTCCTATGTGCGAGTAATAACTAAAAGAGAGAGTAAGAAAGAAAACAATCCCACCATCATATAAACTATGAAACACTTAGGAATAATCTTAATAAAATTTCAGTCACTGATACTTTGTTTACAAAAGACCCATTTAAAACCAAAAGACAAAAATAAACTAAAAATAATAGGTTGGAATAAGATCATACATGCTAGTAAATGAAATAGTAAGCAGGAACTGTTATTCTCATATCAGATAAGCTAGATTTTGAACTTAAAAGGGTAATCAGGGATAAAGATGGACACTATATAATGAACAAGGGAAAAATTCACAAGAAGATATACTGATTTTATATGTAACTTGCATTAATATTTATGCTCATTACATAGCAGTATCTAGTTATATAAAGCAACTATTAATATATGTAAAACAAAAGCTATGAATTCACCACAAAAGGAATCCTGTAACAAACCAAGACATGTGGAGACAAAACAAAAAATGGGTCAATGGATAAATGAAAAATAAGATAAAAAGTATGTAGAGACTAAAGAAAAATGAAGAGACAAGCTATCACTCCTATGGAATGATTCATAAGCAGTGCTATGTAGGACATTCATAGCAATGCACATGAAAAAAACAAAGATCTCAATTTAATAATATAACTGCAACTGAGGATGCTAAAAAAGAAAAGAGCATCTAAAATCCACTAAAAGGAAAGAAATGAAAGTTTGAGCAGAAATAAAGGAAATAGAAAACAAAAAGACAGTGCAAGATAAAACCTAGAGTTATTTCTCTGAAAAACTAAACAAAAATTGACAAGTCATTAGCTAGGCCTATGAATTAAAGAAGAGAGAAAACTCAGATTAATAGAATCAAAAATTAAAAAGGTGAAAATACAACAGATGTGGCATAAATTCACAGGAACATAAGATCCTACTACAAAAATCTCTATGTGAACAAGTTGAAAATGAAGAAGAAATGAACAAATGCTTTAACTCACACAACCTCTCAAGATTGAAACATGATGAAATAGACAGCTGAAAAACAGTCCATTTCCAAGTGTTGAAATTAAAACAGTAATAAAAGTCTCCCTGAAAATGAAAGTCTCCCTGAGAATAAAAGCCCATGACCAGATGGCTTCTCCAGTGAATTCTACCAAAAGTTCAAAGAAGAGCTAATACCTAGCCTACTCAAACTCTTCAAAAAAAGAAAAAAAATCAGAGGGAGGAAAACTCCCCAACATAGTCTATGAGGGGCACATTACCCTGATCCAAAAACTAAGCAAAAATAGTACAAAAAATAAAATTATAGACCAATATCTCTGATGAACATAGATGCAAAAATCCTCAGCAAAATCCTATCAAAACGAATATAGCAATATATCAAGAGAGAGATCCACCATGAGCAAGTAGGCCTCATCTCAGCAATGCAACCCTGTTTATACAAACATAAAACAAATGTCACCCACCAGCTCAGTAAAAAGGAAGACAAAATCACATGATCATCTCAATAGATGCTAAAAAGCATTTGACAAGATGCACTATCCATTTATGATAAAAGTCCTCAAAGAAGGGAATAAATGGAACTTATGTAAACATTATAAAAGCTATGTATGACAAACACATGGCAAACATCACACTCCATGGTGAAAAGATAAAAGCTAAGACCACTAAGATCAAGAGTGAGACAGGGATGTCCACTAACATGACTCTTGTTCAATATAGTTTAGGAATTCTAGCTGAAGCAATTAGCAAAAGAAATACAAAAAGGGAATACAAATTAGAAAAGAAGCTATACTGTCACTATTTGCAGGTGACATGTTAATATTCTTAGAGAAACCAAAAGGCTCTACAAAAAAAAAAAAACTTAAAAAAAATAAACAAATACAATAAAATGGCAGGATAGAAAATCAATACACAAAAATCAGTGGCATTTATATATGCCAAAAAATATTAGATGAAAAGAAAGTGATTTTAAAAAATGATGCAATCAATTATTAAAATACATACAGGAACCTAAATACACATTGGTGAGTGAATAAAACCAATCTGAAAGACCAATCAGAAACCAATCTGAAAAACTGATTCCCAGTATATGACAATTCTGGAAAAGGCAAAACTCCATAGATCAATGGTTGAGCAAATAAAGATTTTTTAAAACCCTCAATGTATTTTTATTACACAACCCAGCAATTGCACTCCTGAGTGTTTATCCTAGAGAAATGGAAATTTATATCCACAAATGTGTTTATAAATGCCTTATTCAATAAAAGAGAAAAAACTGGAAATTTAAAACATACTTCAATGGCCTCTGACACATCTACACCATGAATAATACTCTGCAATAAAAAGGAATAAATTATAGATACAGGCAACTCAAGGGCATGATGTTGAGTGGAAAAGTGAATGCTAAAATATCACATACTGTGTAATACTACTAATGTGAACATATGAGAAGAGAAAAAAATTTAGAAATGGAGAAAAGATTAAGGGTTGAAGGGGTTGGGGAGGTTGGTGGGTAAAGAAGGTCAAAGTAAGTATAGAAAGGAAGTAGAGGGAGACCTTTGAGATTATTGGATAGATCTGTATCTTGGTGTTGTGGTTGTTATATACACAAGAGCAAAATAATAGTGTAGGATCTTGTTTAGCAATTAAGTAACCTCAGATTTTTTTCAAAAAGCTACATTTTAAACAAACTGTTAAAAACATTCCCAATGGTTTTACAAGATTAACTAAGTATAAAATAAGTAACTGACCTGACACTTGCATCTCCCAGATGGCCTCCTGGTCATGAGTGTGGGAACTGAACCAGCATCCATAGAGACCAACATCTGAGAGAGTTACCTTCTTCAGCCTCAGGGAGACATGCCCATCCTCTAAGAAGTTCTTCACCAACTCAGTTCTTCCTTGATATTCTGGCAACTGCATATAGGGCTCATCATTCCCATCCCTGTAGAGGTGGACCACAGCAGAGACATGATCCTTGAAGAAGCGCACTTCCATGGCCTCTGCGCTTGTCTCAGGAGATAGAAAGCAGGAGAACACTGCATCCTCCCCCACTGAGACCTGGACAGTCTTGTCAGGTCCAATTACCTGCCACTGACCTGTGGGAGGAAACACATTAGATAAATCAGCAAGTGCTCATTGGTGTGTCCTGCTCAGGGATGGATGGACTAGTAACATGTGTTTGGTGGTGGTGGGACTTCATCAAAAGCTCCTAGTATCTTGCATCTGTGTATCATTTTTTCCTTAGAATAAATTGTTCTTATCTTCATTTTGAAGTTTTTTATCATTTTGTTTCAAGTGTGATAACTTGTTTTCTGTGATTCTCCCCTACATGACATCAGGTCCTCGGGGGCAGGGTCTGTCTGACTTAGTCAGTATGGCATCCCTCGTTTCCAGCGTGGGAACCAGCAAAGAATGTGAACTCCACAATAATGGTTCCACCATGAGTGGTTGGGCACCATTTCCTTTCCCCACTTGCTCATTTGCTTAATGATAATTTCAGTAATTTTAGTGGGATAGATCACATTAGATAAATTCAAGCATATTAACTTATGATATGTGAATATACACATATAGGGAGGGAGAATATATGAGCATCACAAAGTGTTCTCTGTGTGAATTTTCAAGCAAGTGAATATTTTTATTTGAGTGCAAATTACTTCTTTCTTTAAGTGTTTTATAAATTTTTCTGAAATATTTTTTTATTATGCATTGATTCCTGCTCCACCCTATCTCTGAGCCCTCCCACATGGGATGAGCATGTGCTGACAACTTCACACAGGAACCTGGTCTCTGCCTTCCGTTGAGTACTTCTGGTACCTTAGGAACCCGCTCAGCCTGTTTCACGGCAGCCCAAAGTGTTGAGATTTGTATAGTCTTGAAGACACATCACACCAATGGAGGCAGGAGGAAGTGGACTGCTTTTTAACTACTGTCTACATGATTTCTGAGGTGCTGTAACCAGGGGCTGAAGTCAAAGACTTATAGGTGGCACCCTCTGGAGGGGGTTGCTGGTGAGAATGAATAGCCCCAGGGAAAATACGAACAACTATTTGTAGGGGTGGAAATTCTGATAAGAAATATAAGGGACTGCAGAAGCAGACCTTGGAGTTCATCATTCGAAATTTCAGTGATTTTGGATCTTGAGCAATTCTAGGGTCAGGCATTTCTGCCCCCACAATACCAATCTTCCAGAAGGTCATTGAGGACCTCTGAAGGATGTGGACAGGCTTCCAGGAGCCAAGCTCAGAGAAGAAAAGCTCAAAGGCTTTGCAGGAAGCTGAGCTATAGAAACTGTTTCCAGCTTTGCAGGATGTTACATCCTGGCAGGCAAAGACCTGGAGCCAGATGACTTGATGAGCTGTGTGAATGTGAGCTGTCATTCATCTGCTACAGCTTCTGTTTCTAGTGTCAGTTGTCTGGTGTTCTGCTGGCACATCTCAGCATTTCCTGTGTCTATATCCTGCTACATCTTCTGCTTTCATCGAGAGATGGATCCCAGACTATTCTGTGGCTGCCGTGTTCTCCAGGACTCAGTGGCAGGAAGACACCATCTTGGGAGCCTTCTGTTTAGGACTTTAAAAACACTGGACACTACTCAAGTGAGGTAAGCAGCCATTTGTGACCTCATTGACTCTTTGTTTTCCCTTGTTTGTTAAATAAATCCCGCTATTGTTCTCTGAACCTGAGTAGTCTTGCAATTGTGTGCATAGGTGAAGAACTCAGGCAGTGACTGGTAAACTATTTGGGAAGTGTACTTGGCCAGTTTTAGTGCCCTTGCTGCCCTGTATCAGTGTCAGTAGGACTATGTTCCATTTGCAGACAGCAGTAACTGGCTCATTGGTGCACCTCCTTCTAACTTAAATCCACTCCCTCACTTTTGTTTTCTAAAATCACTTCCTAATAAACTACCTTCCCACAGGCCCTTGTCCTTGGTCTACTTTGAGACCAGCTTATATCATCTGGGCTGCTTTCAACGCTGTCTTCAGGGCTGAGAGGGATTCTTAAATTGAGAGAATATGTTCTGAGTGTCTATTTTCCTCTAACGAGTCCTTATTGTTGTGATTTTCCTGTAATAGTTCCTTCTTCTTATTTTTCTTGCCCTGGGACCAGTAAGGGGAACTTGGCTGTTTTGAATGCATACCATGTGCCAATGGAGCTCTGTGCTATACACTTTACATACAATTTTCCTACAATCCTCATTACAGCCCATGATATCAACTCCAAGTCTCGATGAGCAAATTGAGACCTAGAAGAGTTAGGAACCGTAAATTTCAAAAGCAGAGAAAAGTAGAGTTTTTAAAATAAACTGTTTATACCTCTGAGATCATTTCCAAGGTACCCTACTGCCTCTCCAGAAAACAGAAGAGACAAAGAAGCTCATAAGAAAGTGGATGAGAGTGAACTTAAATTGGAGGATTCCATACGAGTAACTGCCATGCAATCATTCCAGGCCAGGTAGGTTCATTGTCAGTTCTCGTAGGTGAAAAGAGAATTTGGAGACTTCAGTGGATTTTGAAATCCTTTAATGCTGACATAGGGGACCATATACACAGGCAGGCAGAGAAAGACAATAAGAGACTCCAACTCTGAGATAGACAGAATAGCAACTCCACTGCCTAGCTCCCTTTACACCATCAAGAGCCCATAGTCACACAACCGATACTTTGTTGCAAACACAGGGCCCACCTGTTGCTTACTAGATGTCCAAATGTAAAACATAGCATTGCAAAGTGCGAGTTGTCTGTTGTGTGGAAGGTGAAAAATAACCTGATTTTAACTCATTTTCCTTACATTAAGATGGATTTTGTTATGGAATACATTTTCAAATGCCTTTGTTTCATTTTTTTAGATTTGTTCATCAGAACACAGAAGTATAGATGCTAGTATAGAACCTGAGCAGGTAAATTGTGAGCACAGCTGGCTGAAACTTTTACACATAGGCAATGATTTTACAGACATCTACTTTCCAGTTCCTCTGGGATTTTAATAAATTAGTAAACATTCTGTACAAGAGGTATTCATGGTGATGGTAAGGGGAAAGAAAATCATGTACATGCCAAGAATATGCCAAGTTCCAACTTATCCCTCACTCAGAGATCCGGATGCCTTCCCCTCATGCTAGGCTACATAACAAGCATTTCTAACTCATCATGTCCACAACTGGGAACATTGTCTTTTTCCAAAATGTTCTAAGAAATGCCTCCTTTAAACAACCACCCAACTCAAAACTGGGTGATCTACTGAAGGGCATCCCTTCCTAAACCACATTCATGTGCAACAAATATTTAATTTATTTACCTTAACAACTCTGTCTCCTGGGTCCTCTCTTCAGCACCAAGCTCACATTTTTCTTGGCTATCATCATAGTCACTACAGTGCTCAAAAACTTTATTTTACCAATGTATCTCAAGTAAAAGCCAAGAAGCAGCTATAAAACCCAGGGAAATTCAGACAACAAATATACCACCACCCTGTGTTGTAATCAATTAGCTAAAGAACTTAAATAATTAATCAATAAGAAGGGGACAAAAAGAATTGAGTCTAGATTACTTACCTGACCCCAGTTTGATGAGACTAAGAACCAAAGTGAGCACAAAGGCCATAGGTTTGTCCTGTAATTTCATCTCATTCTGTGGAAACAGATGACAGGATGGATAGGTGAATGGATGAGTTAGAGAGAAGAGGAATCAGTCCAGCTGTCTGAGTAGCAGGAGTCATGGAGAGATTCAGTGTGAACTGACAGCAAATTATTGTTCTTTTTCAAGTCTCCTTAACACAGAAAATGGCTGTGTGTTAGGAGAAGAGGGACTCTGGACTTTGGAACAATTCATTCATTAGCGGGCCATAAACATTTATCTCAAACTAGGAAGCAAAGATAAAAGGGGGAGGTTCAGACTAGAAGGAGGTTTTATCCTGGGTGAGAACTGTCTCCTGGGAATATGGCTTGGGAAAGTGAGATGTAGGGATATTTTCAAGTCCAGTCTGAGTAGGTTCAACTGTATAGGGGAGAGGGCCTGGGGATCTCATCCTAAAAGAGAGATTGTTGCAGCAAAATAGGTTATGAGGCAAACAGGTGATATTTCACAAGGAGTAGCCAAGAGCAGGTGAAACCAACATTTCCTGGCACATTCTGGAGTAATTGTACCTTGCCCCTCCCTTTCTTGAGTTGGATGCCTGGAGTCTAATAGTGAGGCTAGATTGAGAAGAACTTGCTAGAATGAAAAAGGGCTGTAATTTCCAAGGATCTAAAGTACTGGTAAAACTTGAGCATATATCATGTATGGATAAAAGGCAAAAACCCATGCACTCAATCATTCATTTATACATTGAGTCAGGGCCCCACAATCAGAGATTATGAAATTTTTTCAAGCATGGAAATTCACAAAGTAACCACTTACCAAAACAGAAAGCATATTTTTATAGATACCATAGCAAAAAATAAATTCTCCAACCCTAATGCAATTTACGTATGAAAAAGACAACTTAAAAACTTAGGAAATCCTATATATTTAGAAATCTTTAACAGCACAGTTTTAAGTTACTCATGTGTCCAAAAAGAAGTCAAAATAGAAGTTAGAGACTATTTCATATAGAACACAAATGAAAATATTATATTTAGGCTAACATCCAAAACAGTTTTGACACCAAATGATAACAAGGATGTGGCACAGTAGGAATTCTCAAGGCACAACCACTATAGATGATAGTTCAGCAGGTTTTTTTCAAAACTAAATATATCCCTTGTATATGATCAAACAATAACACTTTATGGAGTTAATTTAAAAAATTACACACAAAAACCTGTTTGAATATTTATCGCACCTTTATTCATTATTGCCAAAACATGCAAGCAATTAGCGTGACCTTCAATAGATGAACAAAAAACTAAATTGTGTTACATCCTTGCATGCATATTTATTTACAACAAAGTAAAATTTTTCTACAGTAAAAGACAAAGGACTCTAAATCCTCAAAAAAAAACATATAGAAGAAAATTAAATGAAAATTGGTGCATGCAGGCACTTTGATGTTACATGCTGCATGATTCCAACTACATGGATTCATGATAAAGTGAAAATTATGGGGAAGTGAAAATTTCTGTGGTTTCCAGAGCTTTCAAGGAAAAGTGTGGGTGAGAGATATGAATATGTGGGTCACAGGATATTTTTAGGGCAATGAATGTATTCTCTATGATGCTATAAATGATGGACTAAATGTTTTTCAGAACCCATAGAATGTACAACCAAGAGTGAACACTATTGTAAATTATACACTGTGGGTGATGAGGGATACTCTTTTTTTTTTTAATTTTTATTTTTTACATCATTGTTCATTTTTAAACAATATTTGCTTCCCCAACCCCCTCAGGTGTAGTCCCCATAGAATTTCCTTCCCCAATGCACCCGGGCACCATCACTTCGTGCCCTGTGCTCCTCCTTCCCTCCCTCCGATCCCTCTCCCTCTGCAGGATGTCTCTGATTTATAATTGTCTGTTTTTGTTTTGTTGTGTTTTGTACTGTTATTATTTTGTTACACTGATGTCTTATTTTATATCAGAATGATGTTTGCCACATAAACTGTGTTTGGAAACTTTCCCTCTTTGTTTTTGGAAGAGTTTGAGAAGGTATTAGTCCATCTCTGAAGATTTGGTATAACTCACTTATGAAACTCTCTGAGCCCAGACCTTTGTTTCATGGCAACTTTTGATTGCTGTTTCAATTTCCTTGTTTGTGATTGATCTGTTCAGTTTTTGTATTTCTTCCTGATTCAGTATTGGAAGTTTGTAAATTTTTAAGGTTTTCTGCATTTCCTCTTGGTTATCCAATAGGTTGGCATATAAATGTTCACAGTTCTCTCTTACGATCCTTTGTATTTCTCTAGTATAATTTCTACTCTAATTTCTGATTCAATTTATTAGATTTTCTTCCCTTTTTTTCTCATTGAGTTTAGCTAGAGGTTTATCTATTTTGTTAATTGAAAAAATAAACCAGTTTTTTATTTAATTGATCCTTTGGATTGTCTTTCTGACTTTTATTCCATTTATTTGTTATCTGAATTTTATTATTTCCTTTCTTCTTCTGGATATTGATTTCATTGTTCTTCTTTTATAACATCTTGTGGTGAGAGGTAAGATGGTTTATTTTGGCTCTTTCTTGTTTCTTGATGTGGGCCTTATTGTCATATGCTTTACTCTTTTACCACTTTTGCCATGTCTCCTAGGTTCTGATAATTTGTGTCTTCATTTTCATTCACCTCCAGGTATTTTAAAATATCTTCACTGATTTCCTCTCTTATATATTACTAATTCAGAGGTGTGTTGTTTAATTTCCATACAGTAGCAATTTTTCTTCTTGTGATTGATTTTTATCTTGCTACCATCATTATCAGAGAAGATACTTGGTATGATTTCAATATTCATGAATTTATTGATTTTTGTAGTGATCTGGCATGTACTCTAGCCTGGTGAATATTCCATGTGCACTTGGTATTCAGCTTTTGGGAGTGCAGTGTCCTAAAAATGCCCGTTAAGCCTATGTAGTTTTATTCCTTATTTAAGGCTCTTGTTTCCTTGTTTATTTTCTGTTGGTTGATGTGTTCTTTGGTGAAAGTATGTTTTTGATACTCCCTACAATTTATTGTGTTACTTTAAATGTCTTTTTTCAGATTTGATAACGGTTGCCTTACATATTTTGAAGTTCCTTTGTTTGGCATAGACATATCGATTAGTCTTTGTCTTTCTGACATATTAATCCTTTAATTGTTATATAGTGTCTTTTCTGTTTCTTGTTACCCTTTGTAGCTGGAATTCTATTTTATCTTCTATAACATGGCTTTTCCTGTCTTTTTTCTGGACCCATTTGCCTGTAGGATTGCTTCACAATCTTTTATTTTAAATTTATGTTTATCTTTGGAATTTAGATGAGTCTCCTGGAAACAACAAAAAGTTGAGTCTTGTGTTTTGATGCAATTGTCCACTCTATGTCTTTTGATTGATGAATTCACTCCATTTATATTTTGGATGATTACTTATATATGATAATTTGTTATTGCCATTTTGTCTTTAGTTTTCTGGTTCTATTTAATTCCATGTTCGTTTTTATTTTTGCGGAAGTTTCTCTTTGATTTAGGTAGAACACAGACCAGAGGTTGTGTGCTGATGGGAGAAGATATAATGGGCATTCTCCCAGTCTCTCGGAAGCCTATAGTCTAGAGTCCCTGCCCAGAAATCTATGCATAAATAATCATACAGTGCTGTGCTTTACTCTGCAATAGAACTAGAAGGCACCTGTGCTTACAATTTCTTTGTTAGCACTGGCCAGAGATCATTGTGTGGAAGGTGGAGCTTTATACATGTCCCAGCCTCTGGAAAGCCCACAGTCTAGAACGCTTGTGCCAAAGTCTATGTATATACCATGGCTATGCTTTCCCCACTGAGGCTAAGCAGTTTCCGTTGCCTACAACTTCTTAATGAACTTAGGACAGATGTGATATGTAGATGGGAGGGAAAATGGTTGGTATGCCCTAAGCTTCTGGGATCCCCAAGGTCCATAAGTCTCATTCCAAAATATCTATGCATGATATTCTGCATAGTGTCCTTGAGCAAGCCATTAAGGAGACAAAGATTGCTGTGGCCTCCTGCAGTCTCCTTGCAAGTGCAGACCTAAGGTCTTATGGGACATAGGTAAAGGTTAAGTGTCTTCTCAGGCTCCCCAGAGTAGTCAGAGATACTCTGAGAGTCCAGAGATCATGCCATGGATAAGCTTGTGGCTCTCTACGCTGCCCAGTCCAGTCCCCTGTCACCTGGGTCTCTCATGTTAAATTGTTAAACAGGCCATTCTTTCAAAAAATTATGCTCTCTCCTCTCCAGGCCAGGGAGAGCTTGGGAGACTGTTAGAGGAAGGCCTGATAGCCCTCTCAGTGAACTGAGAACAATACACAACTGAAAGAAAACAAGTCTTGAGAGCTCAACAATAACGACATGAAAAAAATTTTATGCTTGAGATATGAAGAATTCAAAATTACCATAATTTAAAAAGTCAAAGAATTGAAAAACCAGATCAGAGTTATAAGGGAAGATACAGAAAAAGAAAAGAAAGCCATGAGAAAAAATGAAGGAACTGCATGATGTTAAAAGATCAATGGAGGAGGTAAAAAAAAAAATGGGAAAAGCCATGAAAATAGAATAGATGAAATAGAAAAATGAATCATACTCTTGAAGATACAGATACAAAGAAAGCCAAAAAAGTAAAGGGATGACATATATAAAGGGAAAAGAATGAAGAAACACTTTGAAAATTCTCTGACACCATGAGGAAAAGAAATATGAATCATAGGGATCCTAGGAGAAGAGAGAAGCAAAGGAACTGAGAAAGTATTCACAGAAATAATTGAAGAGAACTACCCAAACTTGAAGAAGGAGATGAAAGTAGACATACAAAAAGCCAGAAGAACACCAAACTACCATGACGAAAGGAAAACTACAGCAACACACATAGTAATAAAGCTTCCAAGAGTCCAAGACAAAGAAAAAATAATGAAGTTGATGAGGAGAAAGAAACAGATAACTTATAAAGAAGTAGGCTGACTTCAGACTTATCTGAAG